TCGCTAAGCCCTTGCCCTAAGATCCTTTCCCTAAGCCAATGCAAAGGTGAGGTGGGTGGCAACTAGAGACAGGGTATTTTCCGTGGGTGACACTTCATCTTTGTAATGTTCCCCTTGAGGCTTACCTTATTGTCCTTTAAGCACCAGATTGAAACATTTATTTTAAGCCAGAGGTTTACCTGAAAGGTTCCATAATTTTTAGCTGATTTTATGGTCTACTTGTAGCTTGAGGATTGTTTTATTAATATGATTTTATGCTGTTGAATGTTGTTTTGCTGTTTTTATGCCCCAGCAGGCTTGTTTTTATGGGTTATTTCAATGTACAGTTATTATTTTATGAAGTGCCTGGAGTAGGTCTCTGGGGAGGCAGTATAGAACATTTTAAAATAATAAACAGCACAAGTAGATGTTGTCTGTGTTTGCCCAGGCAATCAAAAATGGCTGCTGTGGAGTTTCACTTTGAAGCCCAAGGTGACTAGGAGGAGAGAAGAACAGTAAAGCAGAAAGGGCAAGAAGGAGTGCTGGAGGCAAGACAGTAAAGCCAGAGTGGTGGGAGTCGGGACGGAAACAAAGAAAAGGGAGAAGCTGCAGGAGCTTTCAAGGGGAGGACAGGAAGGGCAGACAGAAGGGAAGGCAGCAAACAAGAAAGGAAACTGAGACAGATAGGTGGGATGGAGGGAAGGAAGGAAGGAAGGAAATAAGGCTGGCAGGGAAGGGAAGGGAAGGGAAGGGAAGGGAAGGGAAGGGAAGGGAAGGGAAGGGAAAGGGAAGGGAAGGGAAGGGGGGAAAGTAGTGTGCAGAGAAAGACCAACAGCCCAATCCAAACTGGGATCAATCACAGTTGCTTTTTGAGGCTGAGCTGCATATTGGGAGATTCAATAATAGATCCTCAATGTCATGTTTAATTTTTTTCCACATTCATGTCTAATTTTTAGGAATTTTTTTTAAAAATACTGTTCCTTAATTAAAAGTCGTTCAGTTGAGGTGCGATTAGTTCCCATGGGGAAAAGGCAGGAAAAAAGAGGCTGCCAGTCTTTTTTCCTGGCAAACAGTAGTTCTAGATGGATTTGTTTTGGGAAAATGACATATGAGAAAACTTAACTCACACACACCCCAGCTTCCCCTGGACTGTAGCACCAGTCCAAATAAGGTCCCATAGTTGCTTTTAGATCAGAGGATCCACTGCAGATCCTCAATGTTGTATCTAGGGTGGCAGTCACATGCACAAGATAATGCGGGGGGGGGAGCAAGGCTATTTCCTCCAGAGGAATTTGAGCCACAGTTGCATGATCACACAGTCCTTTGAAGCTGCGGGGGCAGCCCGCCACTCCATGATCAGACGCAACCGCGGGTGAGTCGAGGTTTTTTTTTACTGTTTGTTCCCAATGCGCTTAAACGGGGAATCAATCAATCGCATCTCGGCACTGAGGGCTCCCTATGGAGTGTGCAATGATGCGCATACTGAGAAGGGGGGGAACAATGGCACGGAGTCAGGATGGCCTGATCAGACCATCCCAATGCCATGAGAGCGCGCTGGAGTGATCACACAGGGAAAGTCTGTCCGTGGCCCATAGCAACCCATTTGCTACTGGACTTTCCCTGGTGTCTTTTTACTCCACTTTTGCAGCAGAGCAAAACGGGTTGCTGACGGGTGTGGGGCGCTTCCCAGATGTTCGTGTTTGATCGCACCCTTTAAATCTGCCCGGTATTCGCGCCTATGGCGCGGCTAATTATGTGTGTGATCGCGTTCTAGATATCTCAACTGGAAATGGTGAATGCTTTCTGTGACTGAATGATTGTCTGAAGAAGTGTGCATGTACACAAAAACGTATACCCAGAATTAAACTTTGTTGGTCTTAAAGGTGCCACTGGACTCAAACTTTGTTCTGTTGCTTCAGACCAACATGGCTACCCATCTGGATGATTATTTGTTTTTGTAAAATTAAACTCTAAATAGAAGAGCTGATCTTGTCTTATTTTTTTTAGATTTGATTTGAAATAGTATTTTGATGAGCTGGACATTGTTCGATCTTCGCTGCTGGCACCAATTTACTTGCATGTTTAATTTTATTATGCTAAAAAGAATTTGGAAAGGTTTCCCTGAGAGAAAGCTTGCCTACCACTACTAATCTTTCTGTATCACTTGCAGCTGTAGGATAATATTAGGTACGTTTTAGGTCATGTTCTCACTCCAAAATGAGCAAGAGTGTAGCCCAGCAGAACGTGCCCTCGATTCCTCTGCAATGGACTTGGAATTCCGTGGCAAAAGCTTGGGGTTCTTGGAAGAGACTAATTTCCTGGACCCATGTCAGTCTGGCTTCAGGCCAGGATTTGGAACACAGACTGCTTTGGTCACCTTGGTTGATAGCCTCTATCAAGAACTAGACAGGGGGAATGTGACCCTGCAAATTCTGCTGGATCTCTCAGCAGCCTTTGATACTACTGCCTCTCAGCACTGGGACTAAGGGGTGCTGTGTTACAGTGGTTCAAGTCCTATCTGGGGGGGTCAGTCTCAAAAAGTAGTGTTGGGGGATTCCTGCTCTGCCCCATGGCTGTTGGCCTGTAGGGTTCTGCATGGTTCTGTCTTATCCCCATGCTGTTTAATATCTATATGAAACCATGGGAAGAGGTCATCAGGAGGTTTGGGCTGTGGTGCTACCAATATGTGGATGACACCCAGCTCTACCTTGCTTTTCCATCTAATTCTGAGGATGCCACTGATGATCTGAATCAGTGCTTGGAGTCAGTAATAGGCTGGATGAGGCTGAACAAATTGAAACATAATCCTGACAAGACAGAGGTTCTCTAGGTTAGTAGAAAGGCAGACCTTGAGATCTCGCCTGTCTTGGATGGGGTTACACTCCCCTTGAAAAGCCAGGTTCACAGCTTAGAAATGCTGCTTGACAGAGTGGTCACCTTAGAAAACCAGGTGGCTGCAGTGGTTTGGAGTGGTTTCACTCAGCTTTGGCTGGTGCATCAGCTGCATCCATCCCTGGGTCAGTCAGATCTAGCCACAGTGATCCATGCCTTAGTTACCTCTAAAATGGACTATTGCAATGAGCTCCACTTGGGGCTTCCTTTGAAGAGTGTTTGGAGGATGCAGCAAGTGCAGAATGCTGTGGCTAGACAGCTGGTCAGGGTCAACTATCAGCAGCTTGTGACCCTAATATTACAGCAATTACATGGGCTACTGATCCACTCCCAAGCCCAATTCGAGGTGTTGGTTTTGACCTGTACAGGCTTGGGACTGGGTTATCCCGATGTTCCTGCCTGGGAATTAAGATGACAGGGATAGGTGCTCCAGACTGTCTCACCAATCAAAGATGCTCATTTGGTGGATACACAAGAGAGGGCCTTTTCCGTGATTATGGAACAACCTCCTCAGGAGGCCTCCTCACTTTTGATCTTCAGGGGGGCAGCTGAAGACAGTTTTATTTAGGACTGCACCTGACTGATTTAGTTGTTATTTATTGGCAGTCCTGCGATTTTAAACAGTCGTCTTTATGTGTTTTATAACTGTTGCTTTATTTCTATTGTAAGCCCCCTTGATTGTCACAAGGTAGAAAGATGGCTAATAAATACAAAGGGTTTGTCCTTAAGGTGGAATGTTTGAAAATCACTGCTGTACAGGTTACATACCTGCTTCCTTGAGGGCGTTTCTCATTTCATGTGCATCTATGGTTCCAGACATGTCCGTATCTGCTCTTTTATAGATTTCCTAGAAGAAAAAGAAAGGTAGATCATGTTGTTTGCTATTTTAGGCTGGCTTTAGAAGACTTATCTGTTTGGCTGAGATAGGTGGTGGTGCTCCTGCCAGGCAAGAAAGCCTGTTCTCTCTGAAAGTGTTAATGACTGAAGGGGGGAAATTCAATTAACGAATGACAAGCTGTGTGCCCTGGGAAACTGTTCTCATAGGGCTGGCAGCTTGCCCACCCACATGACAAACAGGCCCTTGAGAAATAACCCCTTGCTTTGGCAATGGCTGTAATATTAAACTCTATTGAGATTAATACTTTAAAGGAACAACAGACAGTTCTCAGTGCCAAATGGTTGCTTATCCAGCTCTGGCTGTGTAATTAGAAACTATTCTGGCCTACGACTCAGTGGGAAGTTCTGCCATGGTTGTTCTTTCACAAGAGCCCTCTACAGTAAAAAGTAATCAAAATGTTGAGCACCAAGGGCCCAATACAAAATGTACCAAGAGTTGGAGAGCTAATCTGCATATTTTAGTTGCATATAATTTACAGTTTTCATGCATGTGGTGTATGGGGAAAACGTAGCATATTTTCTGCCTACAACATTCTTCATCTGAAGTTGTTGTCCCCAATAGAGCTGCCAAGTGGGGGCGGGCGGTGGGTAACCCCCCGCTTTGGAGGCCTGATTTCCGCCATCGCGGAATCGGGCCCGGGGGGGAACTCCGCCCCCCGAAGCGCAGCGTGGCTCCGTCACCAGAGGTGACACAACCACATCGATCACGTTGGGGCGTGTCACTTCTGGTGACGTGCGGGCGGCATGCGTGCGCTTTGCGCACGCACACAACGAGAGATGGCTCCCGGAGCACGATGAGGCTCCCCCGCCGGTGAGTAAAATTCACTTGGCAACCCTAGTCCCCAAGCATAAAATATTTTTTCATGCTTTGAACAATGTGACTATATGGATTTGGACTTCGTTTAAAAACTTTCCTCTTATCCTACGGCATTTTTGCAATTACATTTTTAAAAATACATCTGCAGCAGTGCGAGCGGCAGGTTTTTCAGGGCCCATGGGCACAGTGGATCCAAAACCCACTCCATTGCAACTCTCATATTCCACCCACCCTGCTACAACCATGGCCATCTTCCAGTCCCCCCCATGGTCCTCCTCCTATAGCTATGCTGCATAAATCAGAGTGTGACTCTCTTGTGTTCCTTTTACCCCTATCAGTGGCAGTGGTTCTAAAAGGAGAAAGAGTCACAGCGGTGTTGCAGAGAAGCCTCCAGACTACTGGGAGGGGTGTCTTAAAGGGGCAGTACAGTATAGTTCTCTTGTGCTCTGCTTCTTCCATTGACCTCACGCCTCTTCTCATTAAGAAATGGGAGGCCCTCTGCCAGGTGGGCTTCAGATGGTTAAGAGGTCTGATAAAGGGCCAATATTAAAAACCTAGCTGGAACTTACAATATACAAAAATACATGTATTTATTAGAAATACAGTTAAAAACATATAAGGGCCCAATGAAAGCCTCCTTAAAAAGTTCAAGTGGCCTAAACACAAGGGCCCTGTGTAGCATTGTACCCCACTGAGGTCCCTGTACTCCCCAGGCTCCATCCCCAAATCTCCAGCTTCCCAACCTGTATCTGGCAACGCGGTTCCCATCAAGGCCAAGGGGACCTGGCAACCCTAGCCCTGAGGCTGGTCTTCTTCTGCAGCCACAAGTGGTAATGGTGGTGGTGGTGGTGGTGGTGGTGGGAAGTGCCATCAAGTCGCATTTGCAGCTGACTACTGGTGACCCCATAGGTTTTTCAAGGCAAGCGATGTTGAGAGGTGGTTTGCCTGCTTCTGTGTAACTACCATGGACTTCCTTGGTGGTCTCCCATCCCAATTCTAACCACGGCCAACCCTGCTTAGCTTCCAGGGTCTGACAAGATGGGGCAGCCACAAGACCTAAAAGCAATTTTATCTCTGAGGCCCTTTATGAGCTTGCTTAACTCTTTGCTACTAAACTCTGGCTGGATTGTTTTCATAGTTTTTTCACTGATTGTTTGACTGGGTTTTTGCACATGTTCTACTGAAGCCTGGTTTTAAATAGTCTCTTCCTTCGGCAGACATTTTATCAACTGCATCAGATCATAAACCAATTAAATACTGAAACTGTAACGTGGCAAACCTACCCAAGTATCATGTGAATCATAGCAGTCAGCTGACCTAAAGAATGGGTGGGGGTGGGGCTGAACAAGGAAATAAGCTGGGGAGATTCTGCTGTGAAAGCTGTATTGGGCCACAAAAGAGCTGCAGCTTTGACTCCAGGGCCCAAGCCTTTAGTCATGGGGTGATTCCGCATCTAGCATTCGCGCCACATTTTCTCAACTGGGAGGAAAAAGGGCAGCTCAAACCCACATCCAGATACCTCGGGGCAACACCATACTGACTGCAGAGTCACCCCTGAATGGCCATAAATCTATGCAGAAGGTACCATAAAACCCGATGATCAAAGAAAGTGAAAGCGGCATCCAATGCAGAGGGGGATTTCTGTTCCCATGTGGGTTTCGTAAAACAACGGAGGGGAAAGCCAATGCAGAATCGCCCATGGAGTTCACTGTGAGAGAACTGGGTTTCCATTCTGAGCCCTTCTGCTACACAGCTGCTGAGTACAGAGGGGAGGTTTTTATTTATTAATAACAATTATATTCTGCCTTTCTGCCATCAGAGGTCCCCAGAGGTCTCCCATCCAAGATCCAAGCCTGCTTGGCTTCAGTAAGGTTGTTGTATACCTTTCAGCTATATCTTTGGGAAGAATTTCTGTTCAAGCATCACAGAAAAATCGCTTCAATGAGATCTTTCTGATCATGAAAAAAACTTTAGGCAGGGAGGAGACATTGCAAGATATGACAGCTGTCTACAGAATGTAAGACAACTTTGAACTAAGCTATATATGGGAGCCCTGTATGGAAATCTGGCAGCTACAGATGCACATTTCTGTTCACAACTGGACACTGAAATTCAATTTCCTGTTAACTTCAAAATGTTCTCAAACAGAAGGTTGCATTTAGAAGGATTTTGTTTTACCAGATATTTCTGAATCTTCATCCAAAGTATCTTGAATTCTGTAATCCCCAGGGTACCAGTTCCATTGCTCTAGGATGTGTTAAGGTCTAGTTTAAAATCTTTTTCAAACTAACCAACCAACCCACCAACCAATAAGGTTTCATGGCACTGATAAAAATGAATGACTTGCTGGAAAAACAAATGAATGAATGAAATGTATATTGTGCCACTTGATGTGATACATGAATCTGAACTTTCAACCACCAAGTGGAGACATACCTGCTATGTTCCATTTGCTTAGATAAGGTATCCTGAGAACTCTTGGGTTCTGTTTTGCAGAATGATTTATTGTAATATTGTAGGATCACATAGCTCATGGAGGGTAGGAAGCTGCAATCTCTTTTACAATCCTACACACAGTTATTTTGCTCAAATCATTTATTTCTCAGTGTTCTCAGAATTCTCTTTCTTTCAGGCTCACTTACCCACAGCTCCCATCCAGGTGCTAGTAAGATCCATACCTTCTTAGGCTCAATAATACTACATTGGGTGCTCCCAGACCATTCACAAGACCTCTTAGAGGCAAGCAATCCTAGATAGGTCTACTTGGAAACAAGTCCCGGTTTTTTCAGTGGAACACATCCTTAAGTTTGCACCCTAAGTTTCCTTGATTGCCTAGAAGACTCCAACTTGTTGCTGCCTTTGGCCTTCCTGTTGCCACTAACAATTACATTTGGGGGGAAAGGAAGGGGCAGCCAGGCAGCGTTTAGGAGTCACAAGACTGAAAATATGAGGCATTTGGATTGTATAATTCTCAATTATATCAGGACCACAATGTATGCATGGGGGGAAAGCAGCTATTTTCCAATGGAAGGGTAGTTTGCTTTGCTGAGCACAGTTGCAGATCAAACCAAAAGGAGATGACCAATCATGAATGCAGAGCAGCATGGATGAAACAAAATGGTTGAGCGTGGTAGATGGAGATAAAGAAGTAGGCGACAGGCAAGGTTATGGGAGTGTTTAGGAGGCAGGCCAGACAGAGGGTGACAAAGGGGGAATATATTATCAGGAGCAGGCAACAGTGGAGTATTCTAAAATGTGAAGAATGGAAACTTCAGGTTACTGTAGAGACCAGTATGCCAAAGTCCACTTTGATTATACATGGATTGGCTGAGCTGGAATTTAAAGACTGTAGAAGCCCAGCCCTGGTCTAATTCTAGCATTCTTTGCACGTGAGCACACAGCAAACTGCTGGTGCAGTAAAGCTCCTCCCTCTAGATTACAGCTCACCCTCTCTACCAGGCTGCGACTGTGGCTTTCTGCCAGCCACCTGCCTACCCATCTACAATAAATTTATTCTAGCATGTTAATCCATTTGCATTGTTAATTACTTCCCTGCGAGAGAAGGACACACTGTGAAGATTGGCAGCTTCCTCATCTTCTGAGCTGTGTGGTTGGGAGGGACTGTTCCAGCTTAATAATTTATCCCTTCCCCGCAGTTCTCCAAATCTCTCTGTGCACTTTCCCTGTGTATAAAAGGGAGAGCAACAAACAGCATGATTGGAATAGATCCAGGTACTGTATAGCAATACAGGTAACCCCTGACATGTCCAGCCAGGACTGAGTTGATGAGGAGTTCTCAAGCACCCAGGCAGAACAGGAAGCGAGACAGCAAGAAAACAACCACAATGGCAGGTTGGCAACAAAGGGTTAATGTCTTTGCCATACCAAACTGTTTAGGTCTGCACTCTGTGTTTTGTGCTCACAGCAAATGAAGACAGATGCACCAGGAAAATGAGACACGTAAATCTTGCCTTATCTAGTCTAAAGGTTCACAAGGGAAATCCAGGAGTGACATTTAAAGGATACATCTAAGAGGCTGATCATCTCCCTGCAAGTGTTTATGCCAAATCCATCACTTTTAATGTCTGTTCCTATACAATAAAAAAGAGGCACAAAAAAAATCAGACAAATATTTATCTACATCCCATGGAAACACTAGACAGTCATCTTTGTGCACAGTTAGCCTTTGCGGTTAAAGCGAATATAGTCCCATTTCTGCCAGATCATTGTAAAGGCAGATGTATGTCTCACAGAGGGAAGACTGAAGGGTTAATTTACAAGAATGCTTTAGCACAACAAGATGTGGGTTATTGGTCACACACTGCTTTTGTGCCCAAGCAGTTATGCTGATGTTTTACCATGCCACGGAAAGGGGGGAATTGAGGGGTGGCATCATGTACACAGACTGAGTACATGGAAGACCAGTCAGGTGACTGCTGTGCTGTATATTCCTTACTTCCCGTGAATGTCTACTTTCACCTCCAGAAAGGTTGTGTGAACTGGCTATATGGTCTAATAGTGTAGGAAAAGAAAACCTCCAAATGTAGCATGTATAAAATACAGGTAGGCACAGATATCCATGATGAGCTCTTTTGCGAAAGCTGTAGCTTGTAACCATTGTGCAAAGAAAAAAAAAACTATGTGGTTTTTTCTTGAATAAGGTGAATTCAGGACCAAACCACACAATACAGTTTTTAACAAGTTAAGTCTGAGTTACCTGGACCCAACCTGCTGTCATCGAAAACTCTAGATTTTAACTAGTACCCTCTAAGCTGAGTTAGTGTGAGCTAGCTCACAGTCTTTTAGTCTCCGGCTCACACATTTTTTGTCTTAGCTCAGGGAGGATGGGGCTCCAGAACAAGCTAACTTATGCAGGAGCCAATACGCTCGCTCACAACTTTAATGCCAGGAGCTCACAAGGTACAATTTTTGGGAAATAGTTAAAAAGACTAAATACCTGGGTATAACGATATCAAGTCGAAATATTAGACTTGTAGAAGACAATTATAATAAGCTACTTAATGAAACTAAAAAAGATTTGGAAAGGTGGAAAGATCTGAAGATTTCTATGATGGGCAGAATCGCCGCTGTGAAGATGAATATTCTACCTAGGTTTATCTTCTTAGCTAAAAATATACCAATTTTAAGAAAGACATCATATTTCAAAGACCTAGAAAAAACATGTAATAAATTCATATGGGATAACAAAAAACCAAGAATCAACTGTAAATATATGCAGGATAAAAAGGAGACGGGTGGCTTTGGAGTGCCAAATTGGAATTTGTATTATAAAGCAGCGGCACTCGTATGGATTAAAGATTGGATAACATTAGAAAATACTAGACTGTTAAAACTTGAAGGGCATGACTTAGCATCCAGGTGGCATAAATATATTTGGTATGAAGAAGGTAGAACACCAAAAAATTTTACACACCATACGATAAGGGAAGCCTTAATAGGAATTTGGAAAGAAATGAAGTAAAAATATTATCTAAAAACGCCTAAATGGGTAGCACCGATTGAAGCAGAAATGTTACCGACTTTGATGGAGAAAAGGTGGCAAGTTACATATGAAGATTTATTAGATGAAAATAACAATCTAAAAAGTGCGGAGCAATTAGATAAGCAAAAGACGAAACTCACTTGGTGGGATATAATGCAATTAAATTCAAGATATAACAGAGATAAAAAAGTGGGATTTTATAAAGAGAAAAATGACTTAGATAGAATTTGGCTGTCCTCGAGTGATAAGTTAATCCAAAAATTGTATAAACTGCTAATGTCAGACTACTTGGTAGGCAAAATGATAAAAGGAACAATGCTTACGTGGTCAAAGGATATACAATATACATTGAAGGCAGAGCAATGGATAAAAACGTGGAAGTCAATAAAATTTATGCGAGCAATCCCATATAAAGAGAACATATACAAAATGTTCTACAGGTGGCACTGGACACCGGAAAAACTAGCAAAATGTTATGGCACCCCTAATAAGAATTGTTGAAAATGTAAAAAGAATGTAGGAACATTCATACATATGTGGTGGAGGTGTGAGAAGGTACAGAGATACTGGAAAAAATTTTACAGAATGATAAATGAAATCACTGAAGAACCAATACCATAAAATGGAAACAAGAAGAACTGCCCTCTAGGAAAGAAGTAATTGATAAAATGTTATCGGTGGCTGAAATGGATAAATTAAGTTTAATACTAAAAGGTAACAGTAAAGAGATATTTGAAAAAAGATGGAAAAGATTCTATGTATGGCTGGATAAAGAGAACATGTGTGACTCACAAGAATGATAAATGTAAACCGAGGATATGATGTATACTGAAAATCTTAAATAAACTTTTTTTAAAAAAGAAAGAAAATGATTAATGAAACGGCTGAAAAGGTGAAAGAAGTGGACGCCACTGCATAAAAGGTGAAAAAGAAAGTTCAAAAGCTGGAAAAGAAGCAAGTTTCTACGGAAGATCAAATGCTACAATTACAAATGGAAAAGGCTAATATGAACCTTCACTTCCAGGGCTTGCCAGAGACAAAGGGAGAGAATCTTAAGGAACTAATGAGTGAAATATTGGCCCCAGTGTCAGATATGAAGGCGGAATTTTTGTTAAATGAAGTGGCCTATAGGTCATATTCAGGATATATAAAGAAAAATAATCTGCCCAGGGAAACTGTGGTAAGATTCTCAAAGAGGCATGTGAGGGATACAATCCTGAAAGCAGTATCTGGAGCACCCCTGAAAGTGGGGGAGAATACCATCAGAACGTTGAAAGACATTCCATTTGAAATAAGACAAAGGAGAAAGAAATATAAAGAATCAATTGTTTTTCTACAGGCAAATGCAATTAGATATAGATGGTTAACTCCAGAAGGTGTAACCTTCAAAATTAAGGATAAAAAAGAAAAGATTGTCTCTGTCCAGAAAGCACGGGAATTTCTAAGAGTCCAGATGGGAGGACCAGGGAAGGAAGGAGAAAAAGGAGAGGACAGTAAGTCCAATGGCGAGCTGGACTCAGACTCCTCCGGGGAGGACTCTCAAAGGGGCGCTGGCCCCTAAAAGTCCTGATAAGCTTCGGAAGAGACTAGGCAAGGAGAAGTAAAGGCTGAAGGACTCTGAATTGTGCCTTTAAAAAGGGTTGAAGTGAGATGCTTTGGGGTGTTTCTGTATAACAGTTGAATTTAAGATCTGAAAAAGGTAATGTTAAACTTGACTCCGTTGATAGTAAGACTAACGGGATTAATGCTAAATGTATGGTTAAGCTGGTGGGATGATCTCCTCTCTTGGGTTTTTAGTCAGTAGTGGGTATCTTTCTTTATCCTATAAATGTAGTTCCCCCTCCCATTTTTTCTGTTGTAGTTTTGTAGTGTTAAAAAAAATGCAATAAAAAATCCCCTCCCGGGGCTTAAAAAAAGTGTTCTGTCTCAGTAATTACTCTGGAGGACCAACAATAGGTCATAGAGGTCGAGGCCTTCCCTAATGTGGCCTTCTGGCACTGGTATTCAGAAAATTACTGCCTCTGAATATGGAGGTTGCCTTTAGTCACCATGGCTAGTAGCCACCAATAGACCTCCATAATATGCTTTATCCTCTGCTTTATTTTGTGGTAGAGACACAGAAGGGCTAAACATGATTTTGTCACATGGACATCAATCCAGAAATGGAAGCTCTTGGATCCTTCACACTCTTTACGGTAACTCTAACAAATTCCTTAGAAGCAAAAGACTTTATCCCATTAATACCTCTATCCTTACCTCTAGCCTTACCACTACTCTGCCATTTATGATAAAAATATGAAATAATAATAAATAAGAGCAATGCAAATTTTATCTCATATGCACTGTTGTGCATTCAGTATGATCCTAAATTAATTTTTCCTATCGTCAGTGTCATTTGTACCCTACTTCATGGGAACTTAGCAACTTATTCCTGAAGAACATTTTGAGAAAGTATATTTTGTAGGCCTTCTGGTTTTACTTCACAAAAATGTACATCCCAGAATGAAAGCCATAGAGTAATTAATTGCAACAATAACCAAGAACATGATAACAAGCATACTACCTGCTTTAATCATACGTATTTATGTTTGTGACTATCGTGCCCATCTTCAACAATTATGAAGCACCCATTATAGCTTACTCTTTGATATGACTCTGTTCAGAACTGTCTGAAGTTCATTTGCTGTCATTTCACAATCCTGCAGAAAGGAGACAAATCAGAGATTCAACAAGCATCCAACTTAACAGAGAGTGTCCTCTGTCTGAACCAAGCCCCTACCCTAGATCCCATTTGAAAAGAAAAACCTAAAGGCCTTTCTCAGGCTCAGAATCTAACTGACCTTGACAAGTAAGTTCAGATCCACTTCTTTGCATCTAAAACATCCAAAATATGGGTATTTGAAATTGTTGTCAATGGATATACATGTTACTTAGGTGCTGGGTGTGTTAGTTACTGATAAAAGTCTGGCAACAAAGTCTGGTTGAGCCCTATACACACCCTAGGAGTCAGTGAGTCCTATCTGAAGAGGCTAGAACAAAGAGAAAGACTCGGGCTGCCTCCACACAGCAACAATTCTCCATGTAGCTTTCACTGCTACTGCAAAGGAAAATGCATTCACATTGGCAATGGAGTATGTACACACCAGCTTTCCCCAAACTTTCCTTGCCTTGACTCCCCACAGCTGCCATTCTACCCCCTGTGGGAGGGCTTTTAAAAAATTGGTCATCACTATAGGTGCACCTTTCTCATAATTCTTTAACAAAAAGGTCTAGAGACATACTTTAAAAAAATGAAAGCTGGGAACAAGCAGATCGTGACAACTGGTTGTTATAGCATTAACATGCAATAGCAGTTTTTAAAAAGCTCCCCAAATGTTGGGTGGAATGGCCAGTGGAGGGGGCCTGCAGCAAAGAAAATGGTGCCGGTGTGAGTGGACCTGCAAAAAAACCATACCTCCCCATCCACAAAGCATCCAAAAGTGGGTTGACAATGATCCTTCCAAAAAGATCTTACCAAACCGGGTTTGGAAAAGACTGCAGCACATTGGGAGGAAACAGAACAAATACAGGACGATGTCATGTGGATGCTCCTGACAGCAGCACTGCAGTAAGGGAACCAAAACAAAGCAAAACCCTCCAGGATCCCTGGGCCAATCTGGCCTGGAAGAAAATTCCTTCCTGACCCCAAAGTTGTCATTGGCGTTACCCTGGACGAATGGGCCACGAAAGCTGACATTGGCTCATCCCTTCCTGCCCTCTCTCTCGTGATCTGCCTAAATTCACACAATCAGCATTGCTGTCAGATGGCCATCCAGTCTCTGTTTAAAAACCTCCAAAGAAGGAGAGCCCACCACCTCCTGAGGAAGCCTATTCCACTGAGGCATGGCTCTAACTGTCAGGAAGTTCTTAATGTTTAGCCAAAAACTCTTCTGATTTAATTTCAGTCCATTGGTTCTGGTCCGACCTTCTGGAGCAACAGAAAACAACTCCACATGATCCTCTAAATGACAGCCCTTCAGTTACTTGAAGATGGCTATCATATCACCCCTCAGTTCTCTCCTCTCCAGGCTAAACATACCCAGCTCCTTCAACCTTTTCTCATACAACTTGGTTTCCAGACCCCTCACCATCTTAATTGCCCTCCTATGGACGTGTTCCATATTGTCAACATCCTTCTTAAAATGTGGCACCCAAAACTGAACACAGTACTCCAAGTGAGGTCTAACAAGAACAGAGTAAAGTGATACCATCACTTTGTGTGATCTGGGCACAATACTTCTGTTGATGCAGCCCAAAATTGCATTTGCCTTTTTAACTACGGCATCACACTGCTGACTCATGTTTAGTGTATGGTGTACTGAAAGCCATAGATCCTTTTCCAAGTACTACTGCCAAGACAAGTCTCCCCCATCCTATAACTATGCATTTGATTTTTTCTACCTAAATGCAGAATTTTACATTTATCTCTGTTGAAATTCACTGAAGAACTGAAGTATCTGAAGAAGACTGCATAAACACGAAAGCTAACTACAGACTGTAAACACAGTCCAGCGAACTTGACTAATGCTCTAACAAGTTCAAGCAAAAACTCTGCTTGCCGAACAGAGTTTGGTTTTGATCTCTGTGGGCAATACAGGAGCCCAGAGAGTTCAAAAATGTGCCCATGTATGTAAGCATATTCATACAATAGTGAACTTTTTACATTTATTATGGTCTGAATTATATAATGTTACTGAGGACCTTTAAAAATAAAAATAAAAACCAGCTTGTGGAAGACACAATCAGGAGTGAAGGACTGGGAAGGGGGGGGAGCTTTCCTTGCTTTTTCTACTTCCTATCCTCCTTCCTTAATTGTCACATTCCTCCCTGTGGAGTTCCAAATGTGTATTTTTTGTCCTCCATAGCAGGAGGACATGTTTGTGTGAAAGGTGTACATGCACGGGAAATATATGTGTTGCCCCATTCACACAAAATGGCAGGCATGTACTGGGAAGATTGCATGTAGCATGTGCTGCCCTTTACATGCAGCTAGAGAGACAAACTTGAAGTCTGGAAAGGGATAATGTGGCACACATATGCATGCAGTGTCTAGTATGGCACATTTCTGCTTTTTGATAGTTCATAGGGAAGGGATCAGTTAAAATAAAGATGTCTCCCTGATGAGAGAAGACCAGTGTTCCCTCTAAGCTGTGTGCGTGAGCGGCCACTCGTTAATATAGAAAGCCCCGCTCAGCAACAATCTGGAGCCATGCATGGTCTTGCATTGCCATTTTAAGATTACAGCAGTATATATATTTAAGGGTGGGGAGGTGGTGGCTGGATATTAGGAAAAACTTTTTTACAGTAAGAGTTGTGCAACAGTGGAATCAGCTGCCTAGAGAGATGGTGAGCTCCCCCTCACTGGCAGTCTTTAATCAGCAGCTGGACAAACACTTGTCAGGGATACTGTAGGCTGATCCTGCATTGAGCAGGAGGGTTGGACTAGATGGCCTGTATGGCCCCTTCCAACTCTGTGACTCTATGATGCTGTGATTCTATTCTGTTCTGCTCAGTAGGGAATAAAAATAAGAGGGAACATTGGAGAAGACACCATCTTTGAGAGAGATGGGTGGCTCCCATGTTAGTAGTAGAGGAAAGGGCATGAGCATATACTGTTGGGAGCAGCCATGGCCCTCTGAGAGTGAGGGAATGAATGGATGGGCTTGCAGCAAAATGATCCTCAGGTGCAGTATTAAAGTGGATGAGAAACAGCCCTCAGAGCCAAGAGTCAGGGCATGGATGAGTTCATCCATAGGTCTTAATAGGATTTTATGTCTGAAGCTATTATCCACTCCAAGCCTTTGTGACGAGAAGGCTATAAATCTAAGTCTAAAGCAAACAGTCTGAGATTTTGCATCAATAGGAACCATGAAAGAAGAATTTGCTACCATTCAATATGTCAGGCTGGATCAATTGTAATGTTATATGTCAGTAAAAAGGGAAGAAACAAATTGAGAAAGAAACAACTTTTATTTATTTATTCTGGTTTATTATAAACATTTATCAGCCACCTTTCTACCTTATAGGAACCGGGCAACTTACAGTGTAAATTACAAGAAAATACAATAAAATGTATAAAATACATGAAAAACCACTACTTAAAATCAATTATTTAAAACTGTCAGTAGGCAGAAGAACTAATCAAATGCCATCATGAGTAAAACTGTCTGCAGCTGCCTCCTAAAGACTGAGAGGGCCAGGTGCCCATCCCTAGGAATGTTGTATAACCATAGGGCTGCCACCAAAAAGGCCCTCTCATGTACCCACCAAACAAGCTTCTTTGGTCAATCAGACAGTCAAAAGGACCTCTCCCTGTGGTCTTAGTTCCTGAGCAAGAATATGGAAAACCAGTGAAGCCAGTGTAACTGTAGGATTAGTGTTACACAATCCCTGTAATTGGCTTTGACCAAGAGTCTAGTCACAGCATTCTGCACTAGTGCAGCTTCCAAATAGTCTTCAAGGGTAGCCCCAAGTAGAGCACACTGTAATAGTCCAGTCTAGATGTAACTAAGGCATGGATCACTGTGGTTATATCTGACTGAACCAGGAACAGGTGCAGCTGGCACACCAAAAGAAGCTGGATGAAAGCACTCTTAACCACAGCAGCCACCTGATTTTCTAAGATGACCATTGTGTTGAGCAGCATTCCCAAGCTGTGAACCTGGCTTTTCAAGAGGAGTATACCACATCTAAGAAGGGAAAAGCTCAAGTCCCTTGTCTGCCTTTCTACTACCCTAGAGAACCTCTATCTTGTCAAGATTAAGTTTCATCTTGTTCACCCTCATCTAGCCAATACTGACTCTAAGCACCAGTTTAGAACATCAACAGCTTCCTTGGACTTAAGTGGGAAAGAAAGGTAGAGCTGAGTATCATATGCATATTGGTGACACTACATTCCAAACCTCGTGATGTCCTCTCCCAGCAGCTTTATGTAGATTTTAAATAGCATGGGGGATAAGATCAACCCCTGTAGAATCCCACAGGTTAATGGTCATGGGACAGAGCAGGAATCCCTCAGCATCATCTTCTGGAACTGGCCTCCCATAACTCACACCACCATAACATGGTGCCTCTTAGTCCCAGAGCCAGAGCCAGCCCACTAGGATACCATGGTTGATGGTATTGTAGGCTGCTGAGAGATCCAGCAAAAATAGCATGCTCCCCCTCCCCCTGTCTAATTCTTGGCAGAGGTAACCAAAACAGCCAAGGTTATCAAAACAACCAAGTTGACAAAAGCAGCTTCTGTTCCAAATCCTGACTTAAAGCCAAACTGAAATGGGTCCAGAAAATCAATCTCTTCCAAGAGCCCCTGAAACTGAAAAGCAACCACCCACTCAGTAGGGATCCCAAGTCCCCCTGGGGGCGTGGAAACCCCAGCCCCAGGGGCCCGTTCCCTGGCACCGCCGGATCGGGCCCCGGGGGGAACTCCACCCCCGATGTGCGCGTCACCCGGAAGTGACGAGAGGATGCCAGGCACACTGGGGGCGGGGCCACAGCCATTCAAGGGAAAACTCTATGGTTTTCCCTTGTATGGCCGTGGCCCCACCCCCAGCGTGCCTGGCGTCCTCTTGTCACTTCCGGGTGACGTGTGTGCGCTTTGCGCTCGCGCACACACCAGACACCAGCCGGGAGCCCCCCGCTCCCGGCGAAAATCAACTTGGCAACCCTACCACTCAGGCACCTTATCCAAGATTGGAAGATTAGAGAACAGCTGGAAGTTTTCCAGCATGGTAGGGCCCAGGGAGGCCCTACCATGCTGGAAAACTTCCAGCTGTTCTCTAATCTTCCACAACAGGTCTAATCACTGCCTCCTTGAGCATGGGCATCACAACTCCCACTCTCAAGGAAGCATTTATCACTCCCCTTACCACTCAGCCAGCCCCCCTCTACCTACAGGTGGTAGGCCTAACCACTTCAAAGACCTGTCCACATCCTCAGGTGCCACAAGCTGAAAGGTATCCACATGAATCATTCAAGCCGATGCCAAATGTACATCATCTGAACATGCATCCACACCAATGTCTAACCTAAGTGGATCTGGGTGATTTTGTCTGCAAATAATGTATTTGTATTAAATGTGTCTAATTCTGGCTCTTATATATTCACGGAGGATAGGTCCATTGGTAGCTACTAGCTATTTTGACTAAAGGGTACTTCTGTAACTAGAGGCAGTGAATTTCTGAATACCATTGCCAGGAGGCAACATTACGTGTAGGCTGTGGCCTCTATGCCTTGTTTGTGGCTATCCAGGACAACTGGTCGGCTGTTGCATTAAACAGGATGTTGGACTAGATGGACCTGATCCAGCGGGGCCCTTCTTATGTTCTTATCTACACCTGACACACACAATGAGGATTTTCTTACCTCCCCAGAAAGCTTTTGAAACAGGCTCTTGAACTCATTGTCTATGTCATTGTCAGCAACATGAGGCTAAAAAAAGAAGATATAATGAGTAATATCATGTTTTACTTTAGGCATACGTGCCAAAAAATGGAGAATGGTTGAATAGTTTTACACAGAATAATTTACACTTTAAAAAAAGAGGCTAGTTGCAACACACAGAGATTTCATATACTGTTCTTCTAGGTCAGTGTTAGGTCAATATGGCCAGGTAACACTCAGAAGCTATAGCTCTGATTAAACACCGCAGACAGGCTCAAGTGTGGCATAATTGTTTCTGTGGGCAGACTGTTTCTTCCTGGTGACCCATAAAACAAGTTCCATTGAAGTGTAAGGTATCATTTGATTGGTCCAGTAAGTGTAGGGCTCTTCTGAAGTCTCTTACAAAGAGTCCTTGGATTACCAAAACAAATTTTTGAAAAGAGCAGAAGTCTTAAAACTCTGTTTAATACTGATTTATGCAAATCTTATAACTATGCTGCTGTAGGGAAGGAGTGCCACAGCCTAGACACACAAAAACTGCATTTTCTAGTCTCAAAAAAAAAAAAAATGAAATCCCGCTATAACAAGCAAAATGCTATTTTTCCTTATTGTGCAACAGTTTGTCTGGCCTACAAGAATGTGCCTTAACGAGACCCTGAATCAAATACCCAGATAAACAGTGAAAACCTATGTGGAAATAAACAGGAGCCGGGTGGCACCTGAAAAAACTAATGATATTTTATTTCAGCTTCATTTTTCATGGGCTTGATCCCACCAGCAGATGTAACACAGTGGATGCTCACCAATGTTCCCTCTAAGCTGTGGAGTCTTGTGAGCAAAAATTCTACTTTGTGAGCTACTGGCCTTAAAGTTGTGAGTGAGCGATTTGGGGACTGCATAAATCAGTTTGCTCGGGAGCCGTCCTTCCTGAGCTAAGACAAAAATCTGTGCGCTTGAGGCTAAAAAACTGTGAGCTAGCTCACACTAACTCAGCTTAGAGGGAACACTGGTGCTCACTAGGAAGATGTTTGTGATGTGAAAAATAGTAAACAAACAAATCAAGGATCATTAAATGCCAGAAGTACAGGGAGAAATATAATGGATTTATGAAGCTTTGTCCCAGCTAGCTGTTTTTAATACCTCGAACAGAAATGTCCACTCAGTGAGGACCCACAACATTACATCTGACAAGCTTGTGACTCTAGTTCACAAATGCTTATGCTGGAATAAAATTTTGTTAGTTTCCAAGGTGTCATAGGCTCCTGTTTGTTATTGCTAAAGCAGACTAACACAGCTATCCCATTAAAATCCACTGATTTTAAAGCATTTAGAAAGAAAAACTGCAGAAAACGACACTGTTGGGATGCAATCCTAAACAGAGCTACACCCGTCTAAATTTGTTTACTTCAGTGGACTTAGAAGAGGTGTAACTCTGCTTAGGATGGCAGTGTAGATCTATTCATTTGATTCTATCTGATTTATTTACCTCATATGGATTTGCAGCCACAGTATCACCAATTTCCCTGTGGGGAGATGAATGCAGACATTAACAATGTTTATCTACCATGGAAGAATATTCAAAGTAGTTTATTGCCTTGGTAATAAATCTAGGGCCAGACTGTGTGAAGTTGCACTTCCTGTTTGCTAAAACATCTTTTTAAACATATACCTATCTTCGCTTGGTTTACTCCCAAATAAGCATGTACACAAGAACAGGCAGAAAAGGAAGAAGAGGCCAAATAGCTGCAGGGATAGCAGGGGAAATCATAATGGAGAGGGAAGGTGATGGGGGGGTATGCCCTCCCCACCTGAATCCCTGGGGGGGGGGGAAATCCCACTTCTCCATGCATATGCATATTTTCTGAGGATTTTCTGTGCCAAAGTCCCACCTACCTTCTCATAGTTTTTATTATATAGTCTTGGACACTATCACAGCAGGTATAGTGAAGCCCCTGCTCTTAATACATATATAGAAATCAAGGTATCATGACCTTCCCCTGGGTGGTTGGATAGAGACCTGAACTGTCCACAGAACCCATGTGTTGCATATACTACACAGCACACACTACATACTGAGCTTGAGCGTGTTTCTCAGAGAAGACCCGGAGGCAGAACTCGCCATCTTTGAAAGGCTCAAAGGTGGACGGCACAATGAGGTACTCTCCTAGAGGCAGGTGGAAGCGTTTCGAGACTTCACGCAGGTTGATGTATGTGTCAGAGCGAGCCACAGCTCTGTTCCTTAAGAAGAAATCTCTGCTGAGATGAACATCCGTTTGATTTCCCAACTAGTGAGAACAAGAATGAAGAATCATATTTAAACAACTATCACAAAACAGGAACAGTAAAAATTCTTATTATGTTTGGAGGGGATACAAGCCATGCATTCTAGTCTTCAATACCCATTTTTCTCGCTGGAAGCCAAGGACTACTCACTAAAAGTGGGGAAATGTACAGGTTGAAGCCACTCCTCCTTTCCTTAAGCTGTGTGCCTGGGGGGGTGGGGGGAGTGGCTTGTGCCTGTTTCCTCTTGAGTACCACAGGCTCCTTCTTTCATGCAAAAGGAATAAGTAATACAAAGTGCCTACCTGAATGTACTTTATTGCTAAGTCACACTGAGCATCTGAACACAATTGTCTTAAATAAGGTGGGAAGAACAAACAATGGCAAAATGGGATGGTGGGCACATCCTCATATATTCTATGTTTGTTATACACTTGTTCCAGCTGACATTTCTCAAATGCTTTTCTTGTGACCACCACATGTCCAAAAGCTACATGAACAGACCTTTAGAACACCAACATTTTATACAAAGAGTGACTACCATAAGATGGTTCATCTGTGGCTCTTCATGAGATTCCCTTATTCATAAAATATTGTCATGAATTTGCAATAGATGAGTTTATCCTATGGGCCTGGCCTAAAGTGGCACAATTCATGGGATCCACATCCCATGACAGAGCCAACACTGAAAAGGATGGCATGCCCTGAATTTCTTTGGAATGGTCAAGATCTTGCTGGTGTTTTGGGTGGCTTATCAAAGTACAGGCACTAGAGAGGCTCTCTCAATCTACTCAGGTGACCAAACTCAGCTGCTTCTATTAAGATTCTTGATTTAAGTTGGGGTAGTGTTGTGTTAATAAATCTGTTAACTGACTCATTTTTGTCCAGGTGAGCAAGCAAGCGTTATCTGATGTTGGCTCCTCTGCCCTGGTACAGGCAAGACAGCCCAGAGACCCTATGGATCCGTCTACTTCCGTACTGTCCACTCCAACTGCTACTCTTGAACCTGAGACTTTGAGATGCAAAGCATGCATGATGCCATTGATCCACAGCCCCTTTCCACCATTTTCCACCATATTTTCTCCTTACATCATCCTTTCCTCAAAATGATTGGATATGATACATTTATAAAAACTGAGAATTCTTCCTGCTTGGGTAATTGTGATCATAAAGGGAGTTTTCCAAAGCTGATTTTCTCATGCTCCTCCCACTATACCGAAGTGCTAATCTACTGACTAACCTTGAATCACTCATCTTTCCATAACTAATAGCATACATCTGTACAGACGCTGTGCATGAGCGGTAAAAGCAAATTAGCTGCCATACTGAACAAAGGCCTGAAAACAGAATAATCACTGTTTAAACAGCATCTTTATTGCTTGCTTTTCAAAATGTGACTCATGGAAGCAGACATACCAGCCAGGTGGAGCTTGTTTGAAACAGGGTGCACGGTATTGTCTACTGATAACATATCTCTCTTTACCAGAGAGGTCATACACTAAAAATGGTAAATACTTTAGGAACTGAAATGAGTTCTTGACTTTTCATGGTAGTTATTTGATAGGATCCAGGGTGGGGTTTTTTGCCATAACCCTAATCTTTACTATGATACTCTAGTCCAGCAAGACTCTAAGCAAGTGTTACTAAAGGACAGATATGTTTTAAATTCTTCATTTGTTCAGAGCGAGGGTGTGTGATTTCTTTGATTCAGCCAGCAAGTGAGTCATCAGGCTCCCTTCCTCCATATTCACTCTGGGCTGGGGCTGCAGTGCACTGCACACATAACTGGACTGTAGTCTGCAGACTGTGTGAGTTACTACCATTCTAGAAGTCTGAGTAAGAGTTTGGGGGGGGGGGAAGCACTCAAACAAAAGACTAACAAATCCTGCAGGATTTGCACAATCGTTTCTTGACAAGAAGAGATTGGATTTATACCCCACCCTTCACTACCTGAAGGAGTCTCAGAGCAGCTTAAAATCCCTTCCCCTCCCCACAACAGACACCCTGTGAGGTAGGTGGGGCTGAGAGAGCTCTTTCGAGAACTGCCCTGGAGAGAACAGCTCTAAAAGAATTTATGACTGACCCTAGGTCACACCAGCAGCTGCATGTGAAGGAGTGGGGAATCAAACCCGGTTCTCCCAGGTTAGAGTCCGCATTCTTAACCACTACACCACACTGGCTCTCTATCTGTCTGTCTATAAGTCTATCTGTCAGCCATAAGAACCGAAAAGCAGACCAAAACTAAGAATGGTCAGAGAAGCAGGATGAGTTCAGGCTTCCCTAACCCAATCGACATCACAGGATTGTTATGCAGATAAAACACTGGGAGGAGGGGCATAACTTATGCTGTACTGAACACCCTGGGAAACGGGCAGGATAAAAAGATAATAGGTTAATATAATTAAAGGTCCATCTAGCCAGCAACAAGTTTCCATTCCAACAATAGCAAGCCAAATACCTCTGGAATCCCCAAAAGCAGAGAATAAAAGCCACCATTTTTGTCAGCATTTTAAGCATACTATTTTTACATTGTTTTCTGATGTTGTAATCCAGCTTTATTGCATTGTATATTCTATGTATTATACTGTTTTATTGCCCTTTTCTCCAGTTCTGTAATCTTTTATTCCATTGTTGGTTGTATGTATTACTGTTATTTCTGGATTTCCTGGTTTTGTAACACATTTTAAATGTTTGATTATATGTATTATTATATTTTATTACACTAGTACATTATTTCTAATTATGCAGTCCACCTTAAGTCTCAGTGAGAAAGGCAAGCTATATATGAAGTAAGTAAATAGTATATTGTCGCTGAACATGGGGTTTCTACTTAGAAGTCGGGACTACATGCCACTGATAGTCCTGTATCCCCCATGAATTTGTCTAACCCCCTTTTAAACCCATCTAACTGTTGACCATTACTTAGTCTTGTGGCAGTGAATTCCAAAATACATCTTGGTTAAGAAGTGCTTTCTTTTGTATGTCCTGTAAATCAATTGGGTTGGAGGACCCCAAGGTTAAGGCTGCTTCCACAGGGTGGGCAATTGCAGAGGGCAAAAGAGCATCCAGTCAGGGGTATTCGTCATGGTATGCCCTCATGCCCTCCTTTTTTCCCCTGTCACTATTAGAGTGCTTGTGCCAGCTTTTTTTTTTTTTTTATGTAGTTCTGTATGTTGCTGTAGTGTTATGGTGCTATAGTGAGAAGCCTCTTACTGATTTTAAGAAGCTGGCAAAATGCTAGCCAGGTGAGAATGACAGGTCCAATGGGATATGGAGGGAAGACTGGGTCAAATGTGAGCAGGAAGGTTCAAAACTCTGGACCTTCTCATTCCCATGGTGGGCAAACTCTCTTTGATTCTAATATTTTATGGGGGGAAATGGAACAAAGCCAGTTTAGGAATGATCAGGCCAAACCAGGGGAAGGAGACATAAGGAGAACGATTTGCAGACCACGTCATGTGGGTTCTCCAGAAAAAAATCCTTGCTCCAGGGTGGAACAAATCCTCTATGCAGAAGTAGATCAAGTGTTATGAGAGAGGATGAAAAAAATATCCATTCTTTCTATACCATTCCTGTTTTATAGGCCACTGTCATGTTCCTGGTTTAGTCCTTTTTTTTCAAACTAAAATAAATAAACCTTCCACTATTAATGGTCTGGTCTGCATAATCACAATAATCCGGTGGAAAGCCCCATTTACAGATATGGTCAAATCAACAAATCTGACATACCCCAAATGCACAGTTCAAAATAGCAAGGGTGAGGAGAAAACATCTCATTTAAACAAGCTTAAAATAATGGTTTGAGGGGTGGGTTCCATGCCACATACACTTGTGTTCCCTGCACTTAACGAATGGCAATTGCTGCTCCAAAAAGGAGTCCTTTGTGCACAGCCTGCGAGACCACAGTTCCTCAGGAAACTATTAAATATCCCCATACATCACCAGGGCAACTGGTCTGAGATATCAACGTTCAAGAAGCAGTGGATTGTCTATGTCTACATATTTAGCCTTGACGGGCAGGGTGTCACCATTTTGAAAGATATTTATTTCCAGAACAGCTTATATACCTCTTTCGGGACCTGCAAAAACATAAAAGAGGATTTGACAAAAGAGGGAGTTTATGTGTTATTCACAAATCCTTGGACTAAATGACAATAAGTAGAACTTCATGGATAAAACCAGGCTTTTTGTTCCTAACAGTTAACCATTTGCTGTACATTTGATTCCCCCCCACATGCCATTAATGTTTCTATGCAATATTTCTGCTCTGATTGTGGCCTGACAAGTCTCTTGAAGTATTTCCCATCCTTGGCATACAATCTGGCATACTGTACCAGAGATCAGTAATGACGGATTAATAATAGTGAATGTTTTGCTAATAAGATTATTATGGAAGAAGATGGCAAACTCTATGTGAATAAACAGTTCTGACCACCAGGGCTATTTTGGGGCAGGAACGCACAGGAACGGAGTTCCGGCTGGCTCCCAAGTTTGCCACGCCCAGCAGGAACTCATTAGCATAATAGGCCACACCCAACAGCAGGAACTCATTAGGATTGGCTGCATTAGGGGTTTGTGGCCTAACATGCAAAGGAGTTCCTGCTACAAAAAAGCCCTGGGTTTTGACAACAAACAAGGTAAACAGAATAAGAAGCAAAAGGTGGGTGTGGCTGGATGAGCACACTTCTGGTAACATGGAGGTGTGGCCTAATATGCCAATGAGTTGCACTGTCAGAGGTGTGGCCTAATATGCTAATGAGTTTCTGCTGGGCTTTTTCTACAAAAAAAGCCCTGCTGACCACCATTCCCTACCAAGATTTTTACAGAGCAATCCTAAGCAGAATCCAATGCAATTAGAAGGGTAGACATCCATTTAAGACTATAATGCCAGTCTCCTTCCACTTCTAATTTTCTTGTCCTTAGAGCCAAATGATGCCTGAACAGCAACCATAAGGGAGGTGATATAGACTGGGCTGTGGCAGTGGGAAAAGGTGATTAAATTTTTACCTCTCCTTGTTTTGCTGTTCAAAAATGCCTCCTCTGAGCTTTTCTAAGCTCCAAGAAGGCAAGACAATGAGTACCTGAATTGTGCCAGTCTTCCCACCCCCCACTAGGGCTTATTTTATCTGATGGGAGGCATTCTTGATCCAGGAAATGGCAGAAGGGGAGGAGTTAACATTCCTCCTTTCCCCAGCATCACAGCTCCAAGCCAGATCAATCCCACCCACCCACCCCATCTGTTGAAAGTGAAGGACTGTACAATGCCTCTCTGTAGCAAGCACACTAATACTCCAGATGGGCAGAAGAGCTAGTAAGGTGGAGACGTCAGTTTCCTCTGTCTCCGTCCCCTTCTCTATTCTATGGGTGACTCTTCTTGTTATACCTAGAACAGAGGTGTCAAATGTGTGGCCCGCGAGCCAAATCCAGCCTGTGCAGGGCTCAGAATTGGCCCTCAATCAACTTTCTTCTACTGCTTCCTTTTCCAAGGCTGCTTTTTCCCCCAGCATCCTCAGTGGCTCTTTGCTTCCTGCCTCTTCCCTCCCTCCCTCCCTC